GAAGGCGGAATGAATGAATGATGCGATGATAAGGAAGGGACAAAACTGGCTTACTGAAGGCTGCCATTGGATCACATGGTGGCGCCGAATGATGATTATATCCTCATTGATGATGATGCTAGTGCATCAGCAGAGATTGTCTGCACCGATATCAGAACAGTAACAAGTGAAAGTGGTAAGCAGNCGATGATAAGGAAGGGACAAAACTGGTTTGCTGAAGGCTGCCATTGGATCACATGGTGGCGCCGAATGATGATTATATCCTCATTGATGATGATGCTAGTGCATCAGCAGAGATTCTCTGCACCGATATCAGAACAGTAACAAGTGAAAGTGGTAGGCAACACAACACCAACAACAAAAGAAGGTACAAAGTCTTCGTTGTCAAAACAAGAAATGCGTGTCAACCTTTTTATTTAGTGCCAGCAAAAAAACAAAGTACTCGATGTTGCTTATTCACAAGTGCGACTGCTGAAGCTACAGGTGAGATTGGTGTCGCAGAGGACGTAGGCGGCGCTGTCCATGATCGTCAGCGGGGTGCAGTCTTCGCCCTTTCCTGTTTCAAGAAGTGGAGGGACAAAGGTGTGTGAGTATTTTAGCAATGTTATATAAACTATTCAGAACTTACTGAGAATCTTCATGCAGACGGAGCAGTTGCAGTAGCTTCCATTCGGGTGGAACTTGGCTCGATCGGCGCCGTGCTTCTTGGTGCACTCCTCCAGGGTGAAGCCCTCCTCCTCCGCCGGGTTACAGCGGTACGTCGTGCAATTGGGCGTCTGGCTCCAGGGATCCTGCTCCTGACCGTCCACTTGGTGAACCACGAGGAAGGAGGTAAAGAGCACTGCGACGCTAAAAAGAAAAAGCATCTGTCGAAGCATTTCGGCTGTTGTTGTTGTTTGTTGGTGTATGTGGACAAAAGTGATACTCAAGAAAGTGCTGGTGATACGCTCTTCTTCGAAAGTCCAGTGATGAGAGAAAACAATTTGCTGGCTGTCTATTTATAATTAGTTTGCTCTTCTCTTGTTGCAAATGATTGCGCGAAGAGTGTGTGTGTGTTTGGAAAAAAAGTGACAAGTGATTAGATCGGCGGCCGCGCAAGAAACTGGTTTGCTGGCAACGTGCCAAACAGCCAGCCAGCGAGTGTGTCATTCAGTGTGGGCAATGCTGATCGGCAGCTGATCAATGCAAAGATTGCTTCTGAACGTGATTTTGTTCGAAAAAAAAACATTTGGAATTGAAAGTACTGTTCGAATAACTGTGCATTACTGTTCTCGAATGTTTCATTTCAAAACGAACAATGAAAACTCTAATAAAACAAAAGTTAACAGGATTTCAACAGTCATCTTGTAGTAAATGGACGAACTTCTCAAGCGCGGCTACGAGCAGTTCGTCAAGATTGACGCTGGCGGCCAGGCCAATGTCTACCGAACGGTGAAGAATGGCGTCGTCTACGCAATCAAAGTGGTCCGCGTGGAGAACCCGCTCTGTCCTAAGCTGGATGATGACTTGAAGGTACTGCAAAGTGTGCCTGCAATCCGAGCAAACTTTTTTTTACCATATTTTACCGTACTTAACAGCGAGAGCTGACCATTGTACGGAACCTGAAGCACCCGAATTGCATCAAAATTGAGGAGCTTTTTCGGACTCGTTCCAAGATCTACATTATCATGGAGTTCATGCCCAACGGTACCATTGGCTCGCTGGTGCGCAAGCACCCCAGTGGACTGTGTGAGTGGAACGCCAAGCTTTGGTTTTGTCCCATTGCGCTGGCCATTCGCTACCTCCACAGTCACAACATTGCCCATCGGTAACATCAATTACAATGCTATGCTAACTAACTTACTGATCACTGAGTTTTACCACAGAGATCTGAAACTAGGTAAGTTAAACGCAGCTAAAAAGTCAACTTTCTAAAAAGCTAAACCACGGCACCTTTCAAGACAACATTCTGCTGGATCGGTACCTGAACGCAATTGTCACCGACTACGGCTACAGGTACTTTTACTGCACAACTTTACCAATTGATAAAATCACCACCAGAACCTTCTTTCCACCACCATTAGCCGCTTCGTCTCCTTCACGGAGAAGGGCACCGTACAGCTCAGCTACACCTACTGCGGCACCATGAGCTACAATCCACCGGAGATTCTCAAGCAGATCCCCTATGATGCCTTCAAGGCGGACATCTGGTGCCTAGGTTTGAAAGAATGCTCTCTCAACGAAATCAGTAAACAATAGCTCCAAAGTTTTTTTTCAGGGGTGATGCTCTTCATCCTCCTCAACCACGTCTATCCCTTTGACCGACGGGACAAGAGCAAGATGGTGGAGCACCAGATGAGACGGCAGTACCGCTTGCGAACGGAGGTAGAGGAACGGACCAGCGCCGAAGTGAGGCACCTCATTGACTTTCTGCTGGAACCGGAGGCGCCGAAGCGACCCTCCATCAAGGACGTATGCTCGCACGTCTGGTTTCCCATCGTGCACCAGGAGGCGGAGCTGCTTAAGCCGATTGCGCCGACTGCGGAAGCTTCACCAGCCTTCACGCCGACCAGAGTTGCAAGTGCCTCCGGCAAATGACCTTCTCTGGAACAGCTGTTGATAAGCAACTTTTTTTGAAATAAAAAACTCCCGCTCAAATTTTTTAAAACAGTGCACCTCTTCTGTGGACGGTGCTGCTCTTGCTCTTGCTCGCCAATGCCGCTTGGCGTCGCCTAGGAAACGGAAAAATGCCTATTCACGCCACGTCATCAACTGACAGTTACACGATGACCTTAAGCTGGGACCGGAACCACGTGTAACGTGATCTGGTTTATCACCATCGGGAAAAAAGAGACAGCAGTAAAATCGAACATGGACAGCAATGTTAAATGGAAGCTTATCAAATGAGAAATTACCTTTTTACGCAAATTAGACTTTTGGAACGCTTTTGGAACTCACGGTGCAAACGAACATCCGCTTGAGAAGCTGCATCGTGTAAAGGAGGCACAGTGAGGGCGACACCTGGCGTCTGTCGCTAGCCACTGCTGCGCATGACCGATACCGCCTTTTTTGCTACTCGCGCACTGGCGATCTCTGTTGTTTGGCTGCTGCTGCTTCTCCCGCTACAAGGACTGCCTTTTCCCTCGTTTTAGAATCGCTTTTTTGTTGCTGTATATCAACTTCATTCTTTCCTGCTAGTCCTTCAGTAAATGTATCGTGTGCGCCCCTCAACAAACTTCTTCTTCGAAGGCCTTATCTGGTTCTCGCCGTAGAACAGCAGCGCTGTTGTTGTTGTTTACATATTTCGTACGCAATGCAGCGCCGAACTAGCCGCTACCCAACTAGATCAACAGTCAATAAAGCTCCGAATTACACCGGCGAGAGTTGCAGCCCGACCAGCTCCAACGCGTCGCCCACCAGCTCCAGCAGCAGCTCCAGCAGCAGCAGTAGCAGCGGCGGAGCCGGCGGAAGCAAAGTCTACAGGTCGGCGAGGCGACCCGACCGTTCAACTCGATCTCAGAACTCTTCGGTCCGTGTTCAGCTTTCACCGTCCAAAATGCACCAGCAAGGGCATCAGCACCACCAGCAGTCGGTGCAGAACCCGATGATGGCTTATGGGAACCATCAGGGGGTTCAGTACCACCAACACGCTCGAGTTCAGCCGCCCCTCAATCCGCCGAATGCCCACATCCCAAACTCCCACCATCATTCATCTTCAGTGCAGGGGCACCGCCGTTTTCCCACTGATCATCCACAACAGCACCCACAGCAGCAGCAACAGCAGCTGAACTATAGCCATAATCAGCAGTACCATCGAGGTCAGCCCCACCAACAAGTGCTAGCTCAATCGCACCAGCCCCTCCTCTCATACTCCAACAACACTACCTTGCACTACGGCCAGAATCGAATGCAGCCTCAGCACAACCATGGACAAGTTATGGGACATCACAACTCCTCGCTTCTCTCTCATGTGCCTCATAACATGGGCATTCCTCCTCAAGTGATGCCAAACATGGCCAACCAGAATGGCTCAGTGTCGACGTACCATCAGTCCCACCACCACCAACAGCAGCAGCAGCAACAACAACAACATCAACCTGCTATGGCCTCTAATCACGTGCAAAACAACAACACCTACAACTACAGCATGCCTCGAAACAATGAGATGTGTGCTCGAAGTTCAGTTCAGTTTCTGAAGCTCAATTCCTATGACGACATAAAGACGCTAATTCCGCCGCGTACTATCTGTAAGTCATGTGAAAGGCGTTGTGTTTACTTCTTTTAACTGCTGTTATCTTTTTCCATTTAGACCAAAGCAACACGCTGGGAAACTCATTTAGAATTAGCGATATTTCAAACGTTCTGTACCCTCTTAATGATGAATACAAAGTGTTTCTACGCTTCTGTAAGCCCGTGCGGGGACAAACTCATCAGCTCGATTGCTTGCCAAAGTCATTCAATCTGATGATTAATCAGGCAGCTTTTCAGGTAACGTTTTCAAGTGCATTCTGACAAAACCCATTGTTTTTCTTAACAATTTGTTGTTCATTAGGTCAAGAATAAGTACACTTTTGCCCCTTATGATATTACGTCAAGAATCTGCTACGAACGAACCAATGACACTGTTCATCTTCGAATCTCTATTGACCTGAATGCTAACGAAAGCCAGGACGAGTTTTATTATGGACTCTTTCTTGTGAAGAAGATGGACCATAAAATGTTATTTGAAACTTTCCGAAACAAGTTCAAGAAGCCAATCGATCGCCAGGTTTCCATTGATCTTGGTAAGTTGATACACTCTC